AACAATTCTTGGCAATTGTTGAATATTCGCATGAATGAAACTATCAAATCAAAATTCAACTTTACTAATTTTATCAAACATGAAGTTGGATGATGTTATGAAAGAGTTGATTCACCGCCTGGAAGATTTGAAACTGTTAACAACGGATGATCAACTATACAAGGCTGATGAAATATGGAACAGACTGCTTGTATTGCTACTGGAGTTGGACAAACAGAATCGCAGTAAGTTTAATAGCCATTGTATTATTGATGAATTCAAATCATTGCTGACTTTGTGTTGGTTTGAAATGGTAGAGTCTACATATGCAGTGCAGCGCTTACAGAGTATTGGATTGGAAGATATCATAACCAAGTATTTGGAGTATAATCGACCCAGTTTACAGGTATTCATATATTGTAACAATAATGGATTGTTCATGACTAAACTAATCAACATGTGTTGTGTAGATCAAAATAATGGAGTTTACTACAGTGTTTTTGAGTATTGTATACAGTGATGATGATTTCAAAGTATCTCAACGACTAAACAACCAACTTGCACAACTCATGCAATCACCAAGTCGTCAAGTCAAAATGGCGGCAAGTCATGATTGATATTGATCAAATGATTGTCATTCAACTCACTCAGTGTCAATATGCATATAGGTGATATACACAGTTGTTCAATCATGAGTATAACTGCAGCGTCGAGTTTATAGTTGATATGGGTACGAGTCTGATCAACAAGTGCTCACATTGGCGACTGGCCTATTATCGACCGTTTGTCATGATATTGACGATGAAAGTGTATGTTTACAACAATACAGTATTGGATCAGTTGGAACAGCGTGTCGAGTTGATTGTATACTTGACATTGGACTAAGAGCACGCATGATCTGGATAGCAGGATCAGCTGCATCCGGTATGCGCGACTTTCCTGTATCACTTGCACGATCGTTGGTTTTTGAGCAATTGACGATATCAGTGTGTGATGTTGATATGAATGACTGTTTGTGCCGGTTTGATCATGTCAACGACATGATTCAGAAATCTAAAAACAAGGCCGAGATGATCAAGGTGTTTCAAGAATATGGAATTATGCAGCAACTCATCACTGCTCTTTCACGTAGATATCTATGTTTGTATGGTTCTAATGCTGGTATTGTAAAACTACTCAAAACACTTGTTGATTTTGCCGACAATCATTCCGACAGTTCAATACGTACCGAGCTGGAGCAAGGCAGGATATTTGAAAATCTAACGGTTATTGTACAATCGGATGATACTGACTACACAAACAAAAGGGTTGCTGAACAGATTATTGGAACGTGTTTTCAGCATCGGGTTCATGTTGCTAATTCAGACATTCAGCCATACAACGACAATGCCAAAATTGATATGAGTTCTGGAATGGCCGGATATACACATGGAAAGGCACGCACACTTGTTGAGATGCAATATATCCAGTATCTGCAATCTATACTTTGCAAACCCATGTGGTGGATCGATATCACAAACCAGCATATTGTGGAGCAATGGAGGGCTGACTCACTCGATCGGAATATATCACCATCAACATTTAATCTTGCATTGGAACAACTCGGTGTTTTTGTCAAACAGCTTGTTTGTAGTGGCAGTGATGGATTTGGCACAATTGTACCAGGACCTGTTGAACAGACGTATATACTGGACAATGGCATACCTGACAATGTATATACGCGATTGATGACAAATGTATCGGATATTGAACATGGATCAAATCACAACACTGGTCAAATGGTGCACAATCTGATTGATGCATCAATGTACAGTGTTGTATATGGACAAACGATGATTGCACCACTGAGTATACGACTCAAATACACCACAATGGTACCATGCGATATATTGTCATCGACTCGACTTGTTTCAGATACGCCCATCATTGACAGCAGTCCCGAGTTTATATCACGCAAGTTCCAATGTCTTCCGAGTGAATTCCGTGTCGAACAGGATGGCAGTGTGACCATCAACTCATACATCAACAATTTGAATCCGATATGGCATCGAGACATGTACAAATGCATTGCCAAAATATTCAAATGTTTTGTCCCAATGTTTGAAAGTCTGTTCAGAACGATGGATCCAATGTTCAAGTATATTGATATTCGCAATGGCACAAAGGGATATGAGTTACCAAGCCAGTCAGATCGTGGTGGTATGGAATCAGACACTCGAGTCACTCGTCCCGTGTATGTACCAACACTTCCAAAACATTTTGAATCCAAATATGAATCAGCAAAGCCAGTATCACTGCGTGGTCGTAATCTGCAAGTCATTGTCAAACTCACCAACATTCAACTGACACCATCCAAACCTAAATACGACGAGGGAAACTGGCACATTGAAGGTCCAATTAACGAATCGATTGTTGCAACTGGACTGTATTACTACGATGTGGAAAATATCACCACACCCAAACTCGATTACCGCGTGGCTGTTGATCGGTTTGATGAAAGAGCATCTGATATGTATTGGAAAGATGTGTATGGCATGGATCGAGAATCACCACGCAATCAGTATATAGGATCGCTTGAATTACCAAATGGTCGGTGTGTAGTTTATCCCAATCGATACCAACACAAAGAACAATCATTTGAACTTGCAGATCCAACTCAACCAGGACACTGCAAGATTCTGACATTTTTTGTAGTGAATCCATCTCATCGGATTGTTTCGACTGCGCATGTGGCTCCGCAACAACCACAATGGTACAACTCGAGTCTTGACAAGACACCCATACCGCCTGAACTGTGGAATGATGCCACGCAGTATATTCAAGGTGTTCAATCACCAGCTGAAGCCAAACACTATCGAGATGAATTGACAAGTGACCGAACTCGAATCACAGCGGCATATAACGAATACAGATATGAGCGGGTGTATTATCTTGATCATTGATGATTGATTATGAGGTTGTGATTTTACAACAATGAGTTGTAATAGTTTGATATGAACATGATGACTCGGACTCTATTCAGTCGGATCAACTCGACTACAATTGGTCGTGTATATTATGATTGACACGATCAATTGTAGTTGAACTCGAATACAGATTGACTGTTGAATCACAATGCGTGGTATCAGCAACATGATGTGCTATATAGTGGAATGTATATGCTAACCTGACATGTGTCATGTAGTGTGTATTCGATCAATATGGGTATTAGCAATCAACAAGTCATACGATGTTTGTGTTCGAGTGATGGAATGAAATACAATGGAATGGAGTGGAGTGGAATGAGTGCACCAATCCAGAATACGAGTCAACCATGACATATGATCATGATGTGTGGGTTATTATATACCTGACACTAATATCCATGCACATGAGTCTTGGTGTCCTTGCCACATTTAATTACGTTGGGTTCTGTATAACACTATATGTGAAACTATTCTGAATGTTGAATAAACGACCCAAAAATCAGATTCAACGCTGACAAATGACCTGCAATCCAAACAATACAACCCACGTTTATAAATATTGCAAAATCGATGTAGCAAGTTGCAGAAACGCCATACAGATTGATAGTCAACATGAAATATCTGGCTTTTCGTTGCGGTGATGCAATCAATGATGTTGATCAACTCGATGCACTTCAGAGTTTACCAAATCAACAGCATATATTGATGTGCTTGATGTACTCGAAGCCGTCAATAACCCAGACCTGTATGACTGTTGATCGGCCATACAAGTTGTAGCAATGAACAAGCTTGACATTTTCAAAATAGGATTTTGATGACTAGACAACGTATCAAATGACTTGTATATTCAACCACATGTTTGATTACATGTTCAAACATGTTTGGCTACAGACAGTTTGTGGAATGAACTGCAGATCATTGAGCTACACTGCATGGTCCACTATGCATTCGATCCACACGTCCAATACAACTATTACAATGCTAACAACTATCCGAACCAATTCAGTACAATATGTTACAACTAAACGGATTCCATTGACACATCAACAGTCATACATACCGATTGCCGGATATGCTCGTGTTGGTTGGTGTGCATTGGTACAAGTTGTCAAAGTCTGCCAACAAATCACTATATCTGTACGGATTGTGTGACATGACATATGTTTAAGCAGAGACTGCACGGATCATTGTCATTTGGATTGCATTACACAGACAAGCATGTGATGCACATATATACAGATCTGAATGGGTTACAATTGAATGTGTTGCATTTCATGACACTCGATTGAAATGTCATGATTGGATATTTTTCCAAATAGTAAAATGGTATCTTGTAAAACTGTTGAAATGCATTGACTATGAGATTAAATAATCAATTGGATGATATGATCGAATACCGCTGGTAATTTGATTGATGATGCACAACATTGATCGTTGTATAGCTGAGTGTTCCACAGTACAAACTATTGGATATCACTGTCCAAGCTTAAAAGTCATTATGATATGTTTGACAACCTTAGTATTCAATGGCGGTATAACTGTTTGCTTGACAAGTTGTTGATTTGCAGTAATCAGATGTGCATCACCTGTAACATTGGATGCAATTGACGAGTTGTAACCACAAGTCAACAAACATCGATATGTTGGTGATTGTATCGACTACATGATTGGTATTGGTTAGCTGTCATGATCGATTGGTGAGCAATACAATCCACATTGATTATGACGTGTCGCAACTAGTTGGTATATGCAGACTCGACTGATGATCGAGTATATGTTGATGAGTAACTCTGTCACTGTTTGGTTTGATTGGTCATTGCTACTGCTTGTATATGCAGTGTATTCATATGTGATGTATTGGATATCGGTGTTGTGTATGTTGTTGAACCTGTTGGACAATATATTGTCATGCCGCATCAAATCGCACTACATTTAGAATGCAGTCATTGATTTGTTGGTTTAATGATCGACTCGACTCACATTTGACTGTAATGACCACAAATATGCATTGCTGATTGACACGCATATATCGACATGTATCAGACTCGAACATGGTGTATATCAATTGCATATACCAATCACTGATGCAATTGATTGTGATCGATTAGTCAATCAATTCGATATCAACACCAATGTCAATCCATTATCACATGAATACTTGCAGTTGTGACCTGTGTTCAGTCAGTAATATTGGTCAATTGTATTGTAATACGGTTAATGGCATGCTGGTGATTTGTTGTACTGCCTGACTGCATCTATGGGTCGATCAGTGTCAATCAGTAATGCATTTGTATTGGTCATGACTTGTGTGCAGTGATCTGGCAGTATCGTGATGTATGATACCATGATCAATGCAAAACACCATTTGATCAAACACGGCAATTGTGGTTGTGATTACAATCTATAATTGGATGTGGAATACAATCACAACCAGAATCGGCAGGATATTGGGTGACTTTGTGTGAAATAACCATTGTTGGTAGTTCAACCATCAACATCAACGTGCAGTGTCGATATGATGTTTGGTGTTGATGTTGTGTTGATATTCCAACAACACTGAATATCGCAAATCAGGTCAGCATTGACTCGTGTGATAATAATCCACAGACAGTCGGTTTTATCAAACTGTTGTACAAGCATATTGACATTCGATCGATCGGAGCAACAATCAATCACTCCAATGTGTTGTTGGATATACAAACTATAACCCACATGGTGACTGATGTTGCAACACATGTCGTAACACAATATTGAATCAATCAAACTGCAATTACACACTCCATCATATGTCGCATGTGTTGGCACGTCAAGTGTGGTGATATCGGGTCAAAACAGTCGATTGGCATAGTAATCCATCAACATTCGAGTCGGTTGGTCAGCCAAATAGTTTAAATCTGCAGTAAGATTAAATCAGGATACTCGACATGTATCGAGTTGATGACGTAGCAAATATTACTGGCTGTTGTCTGATGATATATTACAGAGTTGGATTTGTAAAGTGAACACTGCTGGTAATTGAACTGCAGTATCTAGCATATTGCTTTGAATACTTTTGACTCCAAGTGCTTGATTGCGATTGCGATTGCAGGTGCGGGTGCACTTATAAACCAAATGTGTTTTGGACGATTCATACACTCCATTCATATCTGTTTTACCCCACTTGCTCAATATATGTGAAATGAATGCAATTATCGGTATATCAGTCACTGATCCTGTGCTACAAGCCATGTGTATATTTATTGCATGTATTACATCATATCTCATTCCGATTGTTGGGCTAGTTCATCTATTTTGGTCTCCATTTGGTATTTGATTTGATACTCCATTTGATACTCCATTTGGCATTCCACTGTTTCATTGATGCTGTAAAGTCGAAACATTGTTTTGGAGTCTGTTGAAAATGGATTCTGGATAGCATTGCCAGTCTACAGCCATCAGACACTGTTTCCTGAACCAACCTGCTCCATTATGCTTATCAATTGATTTTGATACTAGTACTATATAGTAGCATACCTACCACACCAAGTTTGGCACATGCAAAGCAAACTGATTGGCAAGACGATGACTTTGTATAGCTATAAAATCATGCATGGCGAATATGCAATTCAATCTGATGCAACTTTACTTGTCGAAGCTCGAGTGATGTCCTATATGACCAATAGGATCACATCAGGACATACTCATTCAACCCTAATCCTGACCATGTTATTTTCAGCAATCCCTGTGATCTGATGTGGTTTAGTAGCAAGCAGCCAATCTTGAGTTTAGGGGGGAAAATCCCTTGACAACATCACACCAAAATCAATCAGTTTATCCCAGATGCTCTGGCTATCAAGGGCCCCAATGTTTCGAGGCACAAAAAGCATATGTTGACTAAGAATGGTATACTAGTCAAGTCTTGGAGTTGCCCGTTAGTGTACAGGAGTCAGTAAATGGTAGCCACCCTTTGGTCAAATGCAAATCTGTGTAGACTCGACTACTAAACTTGGAACAAAACAGATGGGACGACACAGTCCGGTTCAATTGTGAGGCGTGTTGTAACCTTTCATATAGTTTGTGACCCACAAAGCTTTCTTGTAGCCACCAAAGTAGCCTATTCGTACGAATAGTAATTTGACGGTAAACTTTACTGTTACTCCTTGTTGGGTTTAAAAGCACAACAATTTCATTTTGAAAGCTATAAATACTAGCACTGGAATCGATACATTGGCGCCGATTAACACATTCCAAATAATATAATTTAATGAAACTTGCTCAATGGAGTATTATTCTCGGTGCTTCTAGCATGGCTCTTGCAGCCACTCCTGCTATTAATCCAGGGCATGAATTTCACTTGCAACGTCGAGCACTAGAATTACCAGAACAAGATGTGCACCTGTTCGCTCGCTCACCTATACCACCAGTAATCCCAGCAGCACAACAACCAGGTGGTTCAGATCTATCAGCGTTCAGTCCGGAATTAAAAGCACGAATAGACAGTATAGTAAGTATAGGGGACAAAGCAAGAGAAACCCTAGCCTTGGCTGATAAAAAGGTGGAAATTTCGGGTCGGTCACCTCTGACTCCGGATGAAAGAAAAAATCTACAACACCTATCACTGGAGGGGCAGAAATTAAAACTGCATATACTCATGGGCGATCAAATGAACCTCCAATCTGGAAAACCCCCAAACAGTGTGAAATTTTCAGATCTGAGTCCAGAGACGAGATCAGATATAAATGAACTGGAAAAGGCGAAAAAGCATCTAAATGAAGTTGTAGACCAGGCTCGTCAAAAGGTGACCACGTTTGATCAACGTCCAGGCAGCTCGAGTCAACGTCCAGGCAGTTCGAGCCAGCAACCAAGTGGTTCGAGTCAGCAATCAGGCAGTTCGAGTCAACAGCCAGGCAGTTCGAGTCAACAACCAGGCAGCTCGAGTCAGCAACCAGGTGGTTCGAGTCAGCAACCAGGTGGTTCGAGTCAGCAACCAGGTGGTTCGAGTCAATCACCGTTCAGTCAAGAATTAAAAACACAATTAAGCGATCTGGCAAACATGGGTGACAAAGCAAGACAATCCCTAGCCCTGGCTGAACAAAAGAAGGAAAGTTCGGGTCGGTCACCTCTGACTCCACAACAAAAAGCGAATTTAGAACGAATATCACGGGATGCGGATAGAATAAAACATTTCATACAGCAAACTGAGCAGACACCCGGGTTAGGACCCCCAGGCGGTTTAAAAATATCAGATCTGGACCCGGTAACAATAGAAAGGTTAAACCACTTGCAAGGGCAGACAAAGCAACTAGAAGAAGGTGTGAACAAGATCATTCAAAAGGTGCCCAACTCGGAGCAACGTCCAGGTGGTTCGAGTCAGCAACCAAGTGGTTCGAGTCAACGTCCAGGCAGTTCGAGTCAACAACCAAGTGGTTCGAGTCAGCAACCAGGCAGTTCGAGTCAGCAACCAGGCAGCTCGAGTCAGCAACCAGGCAGCTCGAGTCAGCAACCAGGTGGCTCGGGTCAACGTCCAGGTGGTTCGAGTCAATCAACGTTCAGTCCAGAATTAAAAGCACGATTAGACAGTATGGCAAGTATAGGGGACAAAGCAAGAGAAACCTTAATCATGGCTGATAAAAAGATGGAAAGTTCGGGTCGGTCACCTCTGACTCCGGATGAAAGAGCAAGGCTACAACACATATCACTGCAGATGCAGAAAGGAAAAATGTATATACTCATGGGCGATCAAGCGGACCTCCAATCTGGAAAACCCCCAAACAGTGTGAAATTTTCAGATCTGAGTCCAGAGATGAGATCAACTTTAAATGAAATGGAAAAGGTGAAAAAGCCTCTAAATGAACTTGTAGACCAGGCTCATCAAAAGGTGACAAAGTTTGATCAACGTCCAGGCAGCTCGATTCAACGTCCAGGCAGTTCGAGTCAACAGCCAGGTGGTTCGAGTCAGCAACCAAGTGGTTCGAGTCAACAATCAAGCAGTTCGAGTCAGCAACCAGGCAGTTCGAGTCAGCAACCAAGTGGTTCGAGTCAGCAACCAGGCAGTTCGAGTCAACAGCCAGGTGGTTCGAGTCAACAGCCAGGCAGTTCGAGTCAACAGCCAGGTGGTTCGAGTCAACAATCAGGTGGTTCGAGTCAGCAATCAGGCAGTTCGATTCAACGTCCAGGCAGTTCGAGTCAACAACCAAGTGGTTCGAGTCAACAACCAGGCAGTTCGAGTCAACAATCAAGTGGTTCGAGTCAACAACCAAGTGGCTCAAGTCAACAATCAAGCAGTTCGAGTCAGAAATCAGCCGATCAAGTAAAGGCAGCCTTGGAGAGGGCTAAACAAAGGGATTCCATTCCGAAGCAACAATCAGGTGGCTCGGGTCAACGTCCAGGTGGTTCAGATCTATCAACGTTCAGTCCAGAATTAAAAGCACGATTAGACAGTATGGCAAGTATAGGGGACAAAGCAAGAGAAACCTTAATCATGGCTGATAAAAAGATGGAAAGTTCGGGTCGGTCACCTCTGACTCCGGATGAAAGAGCAAGGCTACAACACATATCACTGCAGATGCAGAAAGGAAAAATGTATATACTCATGGGCGATCAAGCGGACCTCCAATCTGGAAAACCCCCAAACAGTGTGAAATTTTCAGATCTGAGTCCAGAGATGAGATCAACTTTAAATGAAATGGAAAAGGTGAAAAAGCCTCTAAATGAACTTGTAGACCAGGCTCATCAAAAGGTGACAAAGTTTGATCAACGTCCAGGCAGCTCGATTCAACGTCCAGGCAGTTCGAGTCAACAGCCAGGTGGTTCGAGTCAGCAACCAGGCAGTTCGAGTCAACAACCAAGTGGTTCGAGTCAACAGCCAGGCAGTTCGAGTCAACAGCCAGGTGGTTCGAGTCAACAATCAGGTGGTTCGAGTCAGCAATCAGGCAGTTCGATTCAACGTCCAGGCAGTTCGAGTCAGCAACCAGGTGGTTCGAGTCAGCAATCAAGCAGCTTAGATCAACAATCAAAAGACAAATTAAAGGCAGCCTTGGACAAGATTAATCAAAGGGATTCTATTTCGAAGCAACAACCAAGTATTTCGAGTCAACACTCGAGCAGCTTAGATCAACAATCAAAAGACAAATTAAAGGCAGCCTTGGACAAGATTAATCAAAGGGATTCTATTTCGAAGCAACAACCAAGTATCTCGAGTCAACATTCGAGCGGTTTTGATCGACAATCAAGTATTTCGAGTCAACACTCGAGCAGCTTTGATCGGAACCCAAGTATTTCGAGTCAACACTCGAGCGGTTTTGATCGACAACCAAGTATTTCGAGTCAACACTCGGGCGGTTTTGATCGGAACCCAAGTATTTCGAGTCAACACTCGGGCGGTTTTGATCGACAATCAAGTATTTCGAGTCAACACTCGGGCGGTTTTGATCGACAATCAAGTATTTCGAGTCAACACTCGGGCGGTTTTGATCGGAACCCAAGTATTTCGAGTCAACACTCGGGCGGTTTTGATCGGAACCCAAGTATTTCGAGTCAACACTCGGGCGGTTTTGATCGACACCCAAGTGGTCCGAGTCAACAACCAGGTGGTTCAGGCCAAGTACCTCAGAAAAAGGGAGCATGGGCTCGTATGAGGGATGGTGTCACAGGAGTATTCAAAGGAAAAAAGGCTCAAAGTCAACAACCAAGTGGTTCGGGCCAAGTACCTCAGAGAAAGGGAGCATGGGCTCGTATGAGGGATGGTGTCACAGGAGTATTCAAGAAAAAAGGACCTTCAAAACAGCCTGTACCGAGTATGACAAAGAGTGAAAAGAAAGCTGCCAAAGTTCAGCGTATGCAACAAAAGAAAGCTGCTAGAAGTGAGATGATGGCACAAAAGAAAGCTGTCAAAGCTGAGCGTATACAACAAAAGAAAGCTACCAAAGATCAGCTTGCGGCACAAAAGAAAGCTGCCAGAGATCAGCTTGCGGCACAAAGGAAAGCTGCCAGAGCCAAGACTATATCACAAAAGAGAGTGCAACCTCCTACAACTTTTGGGAAAATGATGGGAAAGTAACAGATTTTAAGCTCAAATGACGATCCTAAATTAATAATAAAATTAAATTAAATTATTAGATTCGAACAAGATTGTTGTATGTGTTTGAATAATGATGTTTAACTGCCATGAATCAATATCGATCATTTGTAAAAATCAGCTTGTTTTTAATAAACTGTAAA